TGCAAATGTCCACTGCTCTCCAGCTGGCCTGGCCCGATGGAGCATCTGAACAGTCTTGGTCTCCCTTATTTTTCGTTGTTGTGTGTTCAGGTATCTGGTATGCTCATACGGAAACACACCATACCTCAGGAATATAATGAAGTATAATTAACACTAAAATTGCATTGACAAGAGTGTCATTTTCTCTTTGACGAATCAGACCAAACTTCATGGTCTTGCACCCCAAGATCGTCTTGATGAACAACATACTGTTGGTTTGTGCACAAATGGTGCTTCCTCCCTTATGGATAGACTGCTAGATGTCAAAGAGGACATTGAGCAGGATTTAGTTCAGTCTTCAAAATCACTCAGCATTTAGCAGTTTAGCCCCATCAAAGCATGTGACTTGGGAGAGAAAGATCCTCAGACTGACTTTCACCAACAACTATTTGTAAGATCTCAAGAATAAAATGCATCATGGAGAGGTTCCACCCAGCAGAGTTGGCACAGGGTTAAAAGATGCGGTAGGATTTCCCTTTTGATAGATCATGTTTCCTTTTGACGCGGTTCTAAATTCTTCAGGGCCAACAGGGAGACCACCGATAATTGCCTGTAATTCAACACACACACGACCAGCTCTCCTGAAAGCCCAGCGTCAGCCTCTCCATTACAGTTATGGGACTCAAGATCCTTTTCTCCCTTTATTGTCTTTCTCTTTGGATCAGTAGCCCTTTTCATGCAAGGTCCTGTTTGATGTCCTAATAAAAGTGTAATTTTATCTTTCTCCAGAAGCCTTCCTTATTCAGGGCCCTAGTGATCATTCCGTAATCAGTGTGGTTAGAGGAGCTGAGTCCACCTCTAGGCATCTGTCACATCTGTAACCAAGGGAAAGAGGGGATAAGTGGCAGAATAAGCCAAGTTTGAAGCACATCCTGGGCTCACCATGACTGAAGTTTGATCTTGATATTAAATTTTCTTGAAATGCACATTCAACAAATATTTTGACGTGGCATGATTAGTCTCCTTACAAAGATGTGCACAACCTAATTGTTCCCTTTTTATTTTCAAATGCTACCTTGGTCTGACTCCTCATCATCAACCCCCAAAGAATTCTCCCAGTGCAGAGCCGAGACAAGCCCAGGCAGCCGTACTTCCAGGGGACAGGCTAAGTTCACATTTGTCATCGACTTAACTTGCCCTCGTGTATTAGCACCTTCCGAATGATCGTTGGAAATCAGGGCTAGTTGTTATGAGGAGGGAGGGTCAGAAGATGAATAAGTAGCCACGAAATGCTAAAGAAATCCACCTCTAGGTGGAAAGGAAAATGCTCACATGCATGATGCTAACATGGAACCAAGTAGAATATGCTATCCTGGTGTCATGTTCAAAATGCTCTTGATATGGGACGGTGGATCAATTCCAGCTAAGGGAGGGCTGGGAAAACTTCCAGAGAATGTGGATTTTAACCTCACCCTTGAATTATATAGAACTCCCAAAACAGATAAAAAAAAGTGTAGACAAGATTGGTGGCAAGAAGCAATACCAATTAAAAACTCAGGGGTAAAAGGGCGCTGAGCATGTCCATGTTAAGTAGCATGATCTGATGGTGGTAGGGAAAGGGCGTGTGGGAAGGGATGCAGCAAGAGCAGGACTGTCCTGGCAGACCGGGAAGGGTGGTCTCCTACACGAGGTTCCTTTGTAAGGCTTCTTGCTTCTCTCTTCTGTCATCCCAGCACCTTCAGTCTGGTGGAGAAAGGCCACGGGCTACGTGTAAGCCCCGGCTGCAGCCTTTCTAAAGCACCAGGCTGGAACCTGGAGTCGAAGGATTTGCTGACGCTGATCCATCTCTATGTTCCTATGCCCACTCTAAAAAAAACAAAGGTTCATTATACAATGTCACTGACATGTACAGAATACGTGTTTGCCCGGTGAGGGCTGAGTACTTCATGTTAGACACCCCATGACGTTGGTATTACTCTTATCCTCATGAGGCTCAGAAAGTTGACCTAACTTGCCCAAAGTCACCCAGCAGAACAGAGACTCAAATCCAGGTCTGATCATCTGTAGTTGTGAGGGTCTTAGCATACAGATAATTTTGTTCCATATTTCCTAGAGGGAGGGGGTTGCAGGGAATGCTTTGGAAGGCTTAAAAGAGAGAGTGATGTGGCTTACCAGATGGTATGTCCTTCTAGTTGCACTTCCTGAAAAGGATATTGAATTCAGTTTACCTACTTGAGGCTTTTATGGAGGCAAAGCAGATTTTCTAGAAAAACACTGAGGACATTTAATTTTTAAATCTCCAATCTTTTGAGACTGAGATTTTTATTTATTTTTTTTCAAAGATTTTATTTATTTATTTGACAGAGAGAGAGACAGCAAAAGAGGGAACACAAGCAGAGGGAGAGGGCGAAGCAGGCTTCCCACTAAGCAGGGAGCGCGATGTGGGGCTTGATCCCACGACCCTGGGATCATGACTTGACCCGAAGGCAGACACAACAACTGAGCCACCCAGGCACCCCAGATGGAGATTTTTAAATCTCCAGTTTCACGGGTGTGTGTGTGTGTGTGTGTGTGTGTGTGTCCCCATCTACTTCTGCGCCTCCCTTCTCTCAAACACAATGCACCCAACTATGAAATGCAGCACCTGTCTGCCAAGTGACATTTTAGCTCCTCAACATCTAAAGAACTTATGGCAATCATCGATGAGATTTCTTGTCCACCTTGTCTTAGAGGATGACTTCATATGGGGGTCAGTCTGCCAAGGATGATGTGAAAAACTTCCACAGTGTTGGAGACCCTAGGGAAACTTTTCCCAGCTGTAAGGGGCTAAGCCAGTAAAACAACACTCCAGGCATTCCGGCAGGGTGGGGGGTGTAGGGGTGCTGCCACGTATTCCACTTGAACAGGGAGTAACTAAACGTATCAAGGCCATGGATCGATGCTGCCCGTGTAGCAGGAAAATCACATAACAGTGCCACCCCTCCTTTCTGGGTGCTGGCATGAAACGCAAAGGAAGCTGAAGAGATATGAGCTGGGTAGGAGATCCGCACTATGGCCAATGCCTGGCTCTTCCTCTGTGTGCAGCACCCACAGCAGTGAGGAAATGTGTCCAGCCAGCAAGAGCTCGTGGTTTATGTTAGGGTCCTACCCTCTGGAGCTGAGCTTCAAGAAAGAAGCTAAGGGGCAGCTAGAATAGTAAGTGTCCTGTAAGGGGAAAGCAATGAGGTGTCAAGGACCAAGCTGGGATCGTGAAGACTGTCTCTTAAGTAGTATGTATGTTTGGAAAACTGTCAGTTCCGAAGCTTAAAAATAAAGACTATATAGTGTGGAGTTTCTCAGTATAGATTAATTAAATAATTAGTAGGGGTAGGCATCAGTATCATCTGACTCTAATTTGACTCAAGTCTGGAATTTAAAATGTGGTGCTTTGGAAGACAAGAAGAGACTATTTTCTGGGATATAAAATGAGTCACACAGAATCCTAATGGTGTTTATAGGACTGTAGACAAGCTGGGGAGGGGGGTCTTTAAAAAGTAATATGCAGCCTCTCTTTCTGTCTCTGCCTCCCTTCCCCCTGTGTGTGCATTGGTGGTGGGTGGAGATTGTGTGTCTGTCTTTCTCTGTTTCTGTCTCTGTGTGTGTCTCTCCATCTCTGTCTCTCTCTCCTTGTCTCTCTGTCTCTCCCTCCTTCTCTCTCTCCCTGTCTCTCTCATCTCTATCTTTCCTATTTCCCCATCACTCTGTCACATGCAGAGAGCACATTGGCATAAGGAAGAAATCCTACCCTAATAAAGAATATGATCTCTACCTCTGTATAGATCAGTAAAATATACATGTGACCTCTCTTTCAATAACTGGGCAGTCACGGCATGTTTGGGGGTCAGTGCTACAGGTGGGGAAAGGCAGGAATGAGATTGTCTTAAGACACTAAGACATAGGAGTTTAAAACAAAAAATAAATTTCCCAATCCCATCTTAGACAGGACCAAATCAAAGTCCCTCAGTGAGGGGAAAGTGATGTGAATTTGAAACATGGACATCATGCCCAAGATGTGCTCTTTGGGGCCTGGTTCTTGGTCTAAGCCCAAGTGACAGTCAGGTCTGGGATCGAAGGACAGTCACCTCTCCAGGAAGCAGGTAATAAGCAAGGGCCTAAACTGTGAGCTGCCTCCATTGTGAGCTGAAAAATTTAATGTTTCTATTTCCCCCAAATATGATCCCATCATGTGATGATATCTGCAGGTGCAAAAACAATAGGATGAACTAGATGTGAGGTGGAATCAGAGAAGGCCCCACTTCAAATGATCCTACGTCCATTTGGGAAAAATAAATGGTTAATTCTTCAATGAACAGGGAGATTAAGAAAACTGGGATCTAGTCTGAGCTTCACTGACTTTACTCATGATGCTCCCTCATCTTTGCCCTGAAATCACCATGCTGTTCTCTATGGAGCATGAGTGGGGAGTAGACTTCCTTCAGGGTCCTTTGAGATTGGCCATGATGCTGAGGTCTGCAATTCAAATGCTGACAGGAGTTACTACTGCGGAACACTGAAGCTCTTTGTTATTCCATACCAAAGGGGATGTCCCAGTTTGAGCTTCTGGGACTCCTGCTTTCTAGAATTATTTGATGCAACAAAATTCTGACACAACCAAAGACCCTCTGCCATCCTGTGGGGTGTCACCATCACAAGTGTGACTGGCATCAAATCAGTCCCTTGGCCCAAGTTTATACAAATGGCCATGGAGGCTCAGCAAGGATGAATAGCTTCTGAAGTAGATCTGTCGTGCCGAGTTCTTCCAGCTACCAGAGTTTCCTCATCCCTTAATTTTCTCAACAGCAAATGGTAGTGAAAAAGGTTTCCCACTTCAGAGAAATCTTATATGGGTGGGATTAATTAGTGTCTATGGATTATTTTGAAAATATGTTGAATACCTAGGTAAACAGAAAGCTGGAAGGTACACATCTATCCTCCACTAGAATAATGTATTTGAAAAAAAAAAAAAACCCAAAACATATGTGTTTGATTTTCATTGATTTTACTCCGTGGGTATTCTAAAGATACCGTTCCAATGAGTGGGATCATGGTGCTCACTGCAATTCATCGGCCTGGTAGGAAGTGCTCATTTCTGATCTCAGGGAGGCAGTGGGCTCCTCCTCCCAAGGGCAGCAGCTTCCCCCTGAGAGTAGAAAGGCAGGAATTGAGCCTGGATGAGGGGCCATCACGATGTTCGACCCTCCAGATGAAGTGTGGTTTTGTGCTGTTCTTCTGGAGATTTCATGGATTCAGGAGGTCGGTGATGTAATTCAGGGGAACGCTCCCAAGATCTATTTAAAATAAGACGTAGATGAGTCATCTTTTAAAAGACAGCTTTTCTCCTCCTTGTTCACTCATCATCATCAAAGTGAAAATCACAAGTAAGTATGTGATATTGTAAATTTGCTTGGCACGTAGTTGTGTCTACACGTCCTAAAGTTTCCCACTTGTGGGAGTCTCCCGTTACTGTTCATCCCTTTTGCTCACTCGCCTCTGCACCCATTATTTTCCTACCAGCTGTCTGCTCGCTCCCTTGGTATCGAGATTTGCTCTCACCCAGCCAAAGTCAAGTTCTTGGCATCCTGCTGATAGTCACAACTGCAGCTCCACTCACTCACGTCCTTTGCCATCGAAGATTAGGATGGATTAAGATATCCTGATGACTTTTTCAGGCAGGGAAGTGATTTCAAATATACAGGGATTCCGGGGAGTGGGAGATTGGAAAGAGAGTTGATCATTTGAAAACAGCCCAAAGGGAACATGATTTTTTTTAAGATTTTATTTATTTATTTATTTATTTGATAGAGAGAGACACAGGGAGAGAAGTAACATAAGCAGGAGAGTGGGAGAGGGAGAAGCAGGCTCTTCGCGGAGCAGGGAGCCCAATGCGGGGCTCAATCCCAGGACCCTGGGATCATGACCTGAGCCGAAGGCAGACGCTTAACGACTGAGCCACCCAGGCGCCCCAAGGGAACATGATTTTTAAATAGAAAGAAACACGTGCACTTGCCACGTCTGTGAGTGTGCACAAAGCTGCCTTGTTCTTGCACCACCGTGTTTTACCATAAGACTGAGCTCAGTTAACCTCTGTTAAAGAGGCAAAAATCCCAGTAGTAGACACTTGCTGGTCTTATTTCATTACAAAAACAATAGACCAAATGTATTCATTTTCCTTATCTGTCTTACATTCCTTCTTGGACTCAATAAATAGCTGTTTTGAATGGCTATTATGTGCCCGATATGTTCTAAGTGCTGGGAGTATAGCAGCGAACAGACACAAGTCCCTGAACTCATGAAACTTATGTTCAGAAAGGGAAGTCAAAAAATAAATAAATAAAATATACACCCTGGGCAAATGACATTAAGAGCCATGGATTAAAAATAAGGCCATATAAGGGGACCAGAAATGCAAGGGCGGTGAAGGAGGGTCACAATGAGCTGATGACAGGTGACAGGTGACCGAGGGGATGACAACCTCACTGGAAGAAGGTAAGATGGGGAGTCCTGCAGATATGCGGGTCCAGAGCATGCCAGGCATGAGGAACAGCAAATATGAATGCCAACCGGGAACTGAAGACGGGCTTTTCGATTTCTGTATGTTGGGGATGTTGGTAGTGATTGCTTTGAACCTATAGATCGCTTTGGGTAGTGTCATCACCTTACTGATGGTTAAGCCTCCCAATTCATGTGCCTGGCCCATCTTTCCAATTGTTCTAGGGCTCCTTTCATTTCCTTGAGTAAGGTTTTGTAGTTTTCAGTGTACAAGTCTGGTGAGTCTTTGGTTCAATTGACTCCTAAATATTTTGTTCCCTTTGATGCAATGGTAAATGGATTGGTTTTTCATCTCTTTTTCAGGTTGTTCGTTGCAAGTGTATAGAGATACAGCTCATTTTTGGGTGTTGGTTTTATCTCCTGCAACTTGGCTAAATCTGTGTATTAGATTTCTCAGGTTTTATGTGGAAGCTGTAGGTGTCTCCGTATAAGATCATGTGGTCTATGAACAGAAACGTACATCTTCCTCACCAGTTTGGATGCCCTGGATTCTTTTCTTTGCCTAACTGCTCTGGCCAGAGTTTCCTGTCCTGTGTTATGAAGAAGTAGCAAAAGAGGGCTTCCTTGTCTTGTTCTTGATCTTAGGAGAAAAGCTTTCAGATTTTCAATGTTGAGTATATTAGTGGAGAGTTTTTCATAGATGGCCTTTATTATGTTCCTTTCTATTCCTAGTTTATTGTTTGCTTGGAGTAATAAAACAGTTTTAATGATAAGTAGCAGTAATCATAGCGAATATAATGAATGCCACTGAATTGTATGCTGAAAAATGGGAAAAAATGAGAAATTTTATGTTATGTATATATTACCAAGACTCACAAGATTATCATGGAATATTTTTTTAAAACCATTGATTTTTACACTTTAAATAGGTGAAATATATGGTATGTGAATTTTATCTTAATAAAGCTGTTGAAAAAAAAAAAACAAACTCAAATAGGAAACTATTACAAATGGAGGTAAGAAAGAAGGGTGCTTCTCAGGGACAATAAAGTGAAGTGGCAGAAGCCAACATTATTTGATGTCAGTTCAGATGGAGGGGGAGGGTATGTGAAAGAAAAGTCTGGAAGGGTCAAATGTTCTTTAGCACAAGCAATCTGAAAACTGCAGTCTCCATAGAGGCAGATCTGGGGTTTCGAAAGACCAAGAGTTTGGACTTGGACACATTAGGGGCTGCTTTTTGCTTTCTGGGGCCTTATCCTCAGCTCATCCCAGCACTTAGAAGAAGTGGCTCAGCAGCGACCTGGTAACTGTCCCCTCTATGTATGTGCAAGCCTGTCCTCAAGAGTGGCCCCCAGCTCCAGCTCCCTTCAAGTTAGGAAGCAAAGATGTGACAGACAATTGAGAGAGAGAGAACAAAGAATTTCTAAATATCGAGAGTAGTTGTTCCCTGTGTGCAAGTGCAAACAGCAAGAACCAACTTGGGTCAGGCCACCTATATGGTCAGCTTCAGGGCCACGTGTAAAATAGCCATCTTTGTGCCCTTGCAAGACCTTACACACCGTAGTATTGTGATAGATATTTACCGATTGTCTGTTAAACACTAGTTCCCAGTGAAATTTGTGGGATCACCTTCCCTGTAGATTCGAAAAAATATCAATATAGACTTGAGTTTCCATTTTGGGAGTTGCTTCAGGCTCTACCCTAAAGATCCCTTAGATCTCTTTCAGCCTAGCATGTAGAGATGTTCCAGTGTCTTATATTGCTAATTCTAACTCTGGAAATCATTTGCCCTCATTTGGATTACAATTAAAGACTCATTCCTGAGCTTGGGTGGCTCAGTCCTTTAAGCATCCGACTCTTACTCTCAGCTCTTGATCTCAGGGTCGTGAATTCAAGCCTGGTGTTGGGCTCCATGCTGGATATGGAGCCTAATTAAAACAAACAAACAAATAAGAATCATTTGTGTTAGAGTCAGATGGTTTAAGTGTAGCTCTGACACTTTTCTCACTCTGCCCAATGAGGATGAAACTCAACCTGGGTAGAGCCAGCTGAAATAATTTGGAATATGGCATTTAGCATTAGTCCAGCACATTCATCTTTCTGTTTAGTCTAATGGGATGGTCACATTTTTTAAAAGCAGAAAGAGCAGGATCAGCATGGTCTTATGCTTAATGGGAGAAAAGATCCAACAGGGAAGAGGGAGCCAGGTTTGCCCTTCATTTTCATGCGCGTCCTAAGGGGAAGGCCTAACCATGTGTAGTCACAAACCCCAGCCCTGAAACAGCCATTCCCTTTCATCTATGTCCCCACATGTTGAACACTAGGTCGTGTGTGTGTTTTTAATACGACTCTCTCTTCCAGAGAGTTCAGAACACATGTGTTCCTTTTAACTCTCACCAGACCCTGAGATCTGAACACCAGAAAGATCATTCTGGAAAGAGCTTAGAGAGGTCGGGGGGAAGGCTCTTGTGCACTAGCCTGAGACTCAGGAAGCGCGGGTCTCCCAGGACAGCCCGTAACCACTCACACTCACATGGTGCAGCTCAAAGGCCTTGCTGTATCTTGGTTTTGTTGCCCATAAAACACAGATAGTAACACTTGCAAAACAGACACTAAATGGAATGCATTTTGTGATCTCTGGGGTAAAGGCGGTCCATTAACATATGCAGACAGTGTGTTATTCTGGGGCAGGCCTCGAGCTACAAGCTCTCATTGCCACCAGGATCACTTCTGGAACCTCTGCCAAGAGCAGCCCGAGCCCTCCAACCTCCGAGCCCCAGCCCTGGGTCCAGCTGGCAGGAGATTAAGGGCCAACTCTGCCTAGCTGTTTATGCCCTGCTCACCCACAGGCCTGAATTCAAGGCCCCCAATGCTTGACAAGCCACCGCAAGTCACCAGTTCAACCTTGTAACAGACCTACTTAGTACCATATGGCTGCCTCAGGTCAGGTCTATTAAATCTGCCATTTGTGGGGCCGAGCAGTAAACACTGGCTCCTTCAAAGAGAACGGTTTTGCTTTGGAACACAGATTTCTTGACTGTACTCCGGGGGGGGGGGGGATATTCAGTGGGACAAGGGGGTTGTGGTTTGTTTCGTCTTGAGAAAAAAGAAGTAGATGAGTTGAGGACGGGGCTCCTGGAGCTCTGGCTCCTTCCTTGCCCTGCGAAGCTGAGGCTCCCAGCGCCCAGAACCATAGAGAGATCGTCTGAGGAGGAGGACAGATGATGAAGGGGGAGGGGAGAGGATGCCACGGGAACTGTCCCTGTTATCTCCGAAAGTCACGCATTGGTCTCTGGACATTGTGTGGTCCTCCTGAGGAAGCCGCAGGGGATGTTCTCCGGGACATGGGGTTGATCTCTGTGGCCCCACTCAGGCCCCCTTTCCTAAACCCCTTGCTTCTCCTCCCCATCCCCTCTTCTAGCCCATCTCGCTTTCCTAAATATTTCTGGAGAGGAAATCAGGGTAGCAAAGATATTAATTTTAAGGGACTTAACCCCTTCCTGAAGGACTCAGAGTTTGAAAGAGAAACAGAAAGAGAAACAGAAGGGGGGCAAAGCCCACCCCAAAGCATAAATCTCTAGGGGCAGATGTTCAGATGCTGTCTGCCAGGGCAAGTCAGGTGGAGAGGGAGGTAAAGGGGGAGCATCACAGGTGACCACATGCTCAGCCTAAGTGTGGGGCTGGCCTTGACCCTTCACCCCACCTCGCAGAACCCACTTCCCACCTGCACCCCAAATGCACAGAGAAGGACAAAATGAAGCCCGTTTGACAGCCTCCCAGATGAACAGGGAGGGCAAAC